TTTTACTGCCTGCTCCTGCTGCAGAACCTACATAGCTAAGAATGAGGGAGCTGGAACTACCCTGGGCTCATGAAGGATTTAACTAGAAAATAGTGAACTACAGAGGTATATCTGGCCAGGACTACATGCCAGGTGGTGCTGACACATGAAACAGAGGCAGGGGCAGGGGCTGGACTCTTGTTCCTGTGGGTGGCAGACAACACCTCTTTTTTTCAGATGCTGACATCTATTGAGAAACCCCCAAAACACCTGTTTTCAATGGCAAAAAGGGAGGTGACATTTCCCCCCACAGCTCCTCCCGCACTGTTTGCTTCTGCAGCTCTTCCACCCTTCTTCACTACTAAGCTGAGAGCATGGTAGGGTAAGTGCAGGGGCCAGGAGGAAGGGGAACAGAAAGGTGAGATGCCCCCAAGTTCTATTCCAGCCCTCGCCTTAGCACCTAACACAAAAATCTCTCTGAGCCTTTTGGTACCTGTATAACTTTAAATGTCTGACTCTGAGGGACTATCAATACAACCCCAACTGATCATCATTACAGAGTCACTTTTCAGAGCAGAATCATACTTTACAGGTAAGAAATGAATTTAATTGAACTAAATGTTAACATAATAAAATTATATTTCTGCTGGTAGAACAACCTCAGTCAAAGGTGCACAGCAAAATGTGAAGCCAATATCAGCAGTACCAATGAGTTACTTCAGTAGTTGAATGTAATAAATAATAAACTATTATCTTCTTGCTAGGTTAATTACTAGAAGGGGACAAGCCTTCTAGTAATTACAAGCCTGTTTCTACCTCACCCCACCAGACCTTTCTAGAACAGCAAGGAAGTCATAAATGGTACATACCAGCCGAAAAAATGTGCTGTCTGACCATGGCTCACTTGCCACATCCACGCATGCCCAGGTAGATACAAAGATGTTGCATGGAATAGAAGACTAATCCCCTAGAGCTAAGCATTTCCATTCACCAGGTAACCTTCAGGAGCCCAATATATTATCAGCATATGAAAAGGTCCTTTATTTAAAACATTGAAAACAAACAATTTCACACAGACCATTCGATAAACATATACCAAACAGAAGAATGTTTCAGAAAATTGCAGTTAATTTTCCACAACTACTACTACTTTATATGTGAAGCCTAATTCCAACAATGTAGATTGAGTGTGTAAGTTATTTTTGTCCATAGGCTTGCCACTGTCTTTTGGCACCAAATTACAAGAAACACTTCAGAATTTGGAAGATCGAATTCTGTGACTTGAAGGAGGTAATTTGTGTGCTTTTTCTTACTTCCTGATCTTTAATTTGGTTGACTACAAATTAGATAGGAAAGATTAAAGAAACTTGAAATAAGGCAGAATTTTCTGAGCATTTCTACATTAGATCTTACATTCGATTTCTGGAGGCATAAAATCCAAAAGACAAAATCAGAAATCCTACATGGCTCTGAGGATGGAAGAGTAATAAATCTAATTCTGTTGGTGCAATCATAATTATATTACCAAGCATAGTCTACCAGCAATGGGTAACTTACCAAATGACAGCAAGTTCCTACACACGTGTTTCAGGAGTCTATTTCTTTATCAGGCATTCTAGGTGTTTATACATCTGCTCCAGAAGTGGTGGGGTGGATGCTTTAATTAGAAGGACTCTGAGGACTGCTTTAATTAAAGAACCCAGACAGTCATGAGTATCAGCATCGCCATGCCGGAAAATGGCAGTGGGGGCGCTTTAACTAAAGCTCGTCAGACGAGCTTTTGTTAAAGTGCTCCCACTGCCATTTTTCAGCATAAGGATCATAAAATCATAGAATCATAGAACCATAGAAGTAGGGTCGGAAGGGACC